TGGAGAGGAAGACCACGGGAACCTCCCACAGTTAGCCTGACTGCTAGGGGACTCTAACCCATGATCTGTTTACCACTGAGGATATTTCACGTCATCACTGTCGGTGCAAGTGGGATGCGAAATTCGTATTGACTGGGATCCGAAATTGGTTCATCTAATTGGAATTTGAACGGTCTATCCCCTGCGCCATCGCGGCTCAGGGATTACGATTAAGTAAATCGATAATTAATCCCAGAACTATTATCGAAACTGTTGTTAAAATTGTAAAGAAAAATTCCATGCGGATCGCTGCACGCGAAACAGTGTAATGCAACTATGGGGTTGAAATTTGACATGCTGAAAAAGATTTTTTCGTTTAAAAACTTAGCAAAAATTTTTTTTTTGTGAAGTTCAAATGTTTTCGAAAGTTATAGCAATTTTAATTGCTTTTTCGTGATTTTCTTCCTTTTAAATGATGACTATTTGTCCATCGCTGTAGAAAAATTAAATTATTTCATCCAAAATCTTCATTTTATAAGCTTTTACTCACTTGATTTGACATCAAGTGACAAAACATTAATAAATAAAACAAAAAAAAGTGAGAGAAATAAGATGATATCGGTTATAAATTAACTTATACATCAAGAGTCTTTTTTTAAAGAAAATATAAAAGGCTCAAGAAAGATCAAAAAACTTTCTCCAATTTGAACAATTAAACGAAATAAAGTTATCGTTCCACATTGCTACCGAGTAAAATTACTTCTCATTTATTTTGCTCTATAGTCTCACTTATTCTTTATTCTTAAGTTTAAGTTTAAGTTAATATTTTTTTACTACGATTAATTATTTCCAAACCAATTTAATCGTTCATTTTGTTTTGTTTAAATATCAACTTTTAGGGGAAAAAAAGCAATGGCGATCACTATTGTTTTTTTTAAAAAATGTCATCTAACTATGTTGGTTTTGTTTATGTTGGCCCAATATAAATTTGTTCCAATTCCTAACATGAGTTGATGGCCAGACTTTATGGTACCATCAGGAATAAAGATGGTTTTTGATGGAATATAAGTTGGAAACCAACAAAATATGTTGGTTCCTGATTAATTTTTTGTTGGACCATCAAAATATACCATGAAACCATGTTGGTTCTTGATGGATTTTTTTTGTTGGACCATCGAAAAATACCATCAAATCATGGTGATTTTGTTCACGTTGGTCCAACATAAATTTGTTCCAATTCCTAATATGAGATGATGGTTAGTCTTGATGGTACCATCATAAAAGTAAGATGGTTTTTGGTGTTCATGATGGTTATCATCTTACTCATGTTGGTCCATCAAGGAAAAACCATCAGAATATTTGTCTTGGAGATTGAGCGGCTACCATAACGATTGGTGAGCAAAGCCTTCTAGCTGTTGAAATATTAAATCTCTACATTACAAATTCGCCCTGTAGGTGTTATTCGCATGTTGGTATGGTGGGTGGTGCTCAACCTGTTTCTCTCTCCATTCCTGGGTGTATCTTCAAAGGGACAATTGTTCATGAGTTGGGACATGCTCTGGGATTCTACCATGAACAGAATAGATCGGACAGAGATGACTATCTTATCATTTACTGGGACAACATCAAAACAGGTAAGTCACTACTTAACTATAGTAGTATACTGTAGTGTATCTACCACTACACAAAAATACAATTCCAATTCACTAGTTTATAAGATATGTGAACTCGATTCTATGTTGAGGTACCTTTTCATAGATGAAGTACCTTTCATAGTACCTTTTCATAGTTGACATTGTCGATAATTACTATTCCCACATTGGTGACTTTTTTTCTGTATTAATGAAAAATGAAATTTTTTAAAATCATTTTTTAATTTTTTTGTTATTAATTATTTTCAGGATTGGAAGATCAATTTACGAAACTGAAGTTTACCCAGAATACACTTTATGATACTTTTGACTACAATTCCGTGATGTTGTACGGGAATACGGCCTTCTCCAAGGACAACAAGTCGAATACAATGGTGGCCAAGACTGGTGTGAGACTGTACGAAACTTACGACAAGCCAGGACTAAGTGCAAGTGACGTCAAACGAATCAACAAAATGTACTGGTGTGACGAACCATGGCAAAGACACAAAAAACCAAAATAAATGTTCTTTTTTTCGAAACCTCGAAGTTTCTACAATTTAATTTGGTTCATACGTCTCTTATTAATAAATAAAAACTATTCTCGTCCCGTAATCTTCAAGACTTTGCTTTCCAATTACTGATAGTTCATTAAGTCTTTCGAAAATATGAGAGATAATACTCGTAGAAGGAAAGCATTTTGCTTTTAATTACCTAATTATTAAAAATTACTTAATTTAATTTAAAATAATAAAAATAATAATAAGGTTTGAAGAATAAATTAAATAATAATGATATAAATAATAATACATTTTGAAGAATAAACTTTAAATTATAAGTTATATAAATTTTTGCATCATTTTGAAGAATGTAATTTTAAACGGAAAAAGACAAAACTTTAAAAGAAATCGGTCGAATAGTACCTGAGAATTAGAATTTTAAAAAAAGTGAAGTGTTTAAAATTAGATTTCGATTGGTTAGGATTAGATTTCTCACCTTCTAAAACTATTCAATGGATTTTGTTCAAATTTTATGTTTTGCCATATAAAATTACATTTTTTACAGTGATGTAAAAATATACATTATTACTCAAAATAAATTCAACCATAAATACATAAAATTATAATAAATAATTAAAAATTATTAAAATTATTTTTTTTTTATGGAATTATTTCTGGATAAACGACGGTTACATTTAAGTAGAAAATTTTTTTCAATTCGCTTAAAAAGTTCCCGAGAAAATACGCAAAAAGTGAAATTAATATTAAGGAGTTCAAAGTTTGGATCCCTGTTTCTCAGACTGCGGCTACGACATTTTCGGAGGACAGAAATCTGGATCCGTGGGGAAAAATTATATTTATTCCGAAAAAGAACGTTTGTGTGTCTAACTCTAAACTTCAAATATCGTCTGTACTAATTAATCAGCATATTTGACGTCATCTCCTCGAGTGCAAGGACTTGTTCGCGATATGCAATGTGGAATGCACACATATGCAAAAACTCACGATGAAAACGCAAGAAAAACATCAATCAGTCGCATTGATGATCAATCTGGACAAATCACTCACAAAATCTAACTAAACTACGTATGTCAGAAATAGTTTCTTGTCAATTTAGAGAAGAAAGTCGATTCTTCATGGAACAACGAATTTTTAGAATTATGTTAAATTATATTACATTAAATCATATTGCATAANGAGAAAACATGTAAAATAATATAATAAATATTAATGAAAAAAGGAGAAAAATTATTAAAATAAAATATTTGTAAAAAATATTCAAGAAAATTTTTATTGAAAAGCAGGAAAACAAAATAATGAAAAGATATAATCTAATCATCAGCTCACACGAACATATCCGCTCTCCTTTTTGCAGATATAATCGTGTGGGCTCATGACGAGATTAGTATATCTTTTCATTATTTTGTTTTCCTGCTTTTCAATAATTTTTTTAAAAAACAAATTTCTTAAATAGTTTTTAAAAAAATTTATTTTCATGATTTTTCATCTCCTTTCACCAGTTTTTATTTCCATGTTTTCTCTATTTTTTTTTTCCATTTCAGCGAAACTTTCAGCCTATATTATTCTTTTTCTGCTAATCATAGACTAAAAAAAAAGGGTTCAGAATTAGACTAGATAGCCCTTCGAAACTGTTAATCATAAAACCGAATTTTAAGACAATTATTGATAAATAGAGTGGAGAATTTCGTTCTCCCCATCAAATTATTTCAAAATAATTGAATAATAGTTCAAAATAATAATCTTTTTTTACATACATTCACAATTTTTAATGAACTTCGTTTAAGTTAGAGTTCTGTCAAAAAAAAAAAAACTTACAGTGAAAGAAAAAAAAAATTTAGAAGCCACTGTCCTAGCGCAATGCTTTCGCAATGTGTTCTGCGGAGTCCTAAGTGTGCGTGGAAGGGACACGGGGGACTAGAGTGCAAGGACTTGTTCGCGATATGCAAATAAAAAACTTATGTTATTAGTGTACATAAAAAATTGAGAATGTTATCCGTTGTTCTTGAGTACACATGCACGTTGTAGGTATTGGAGGATTTTTAAAATAAATACGGAATGCTTAAAAAAACTTATGTTATCAGTGAACTTAAAAAAATTGAGAATGTTACCGTTGTTTTTGAGTACACACGCACGTTGTAGGTATTGGAGGATTTTTAAAATATGTACGGAATGCTTAAAAAAACTTATGCTATCAGTGAACCTAAGAAATTGAGAATGTTAACCGTTGTTTTTGAGTACACACGCACGTTGCAGATATTGGAGGATTTTTAAAATATGTACGGAATGCTTAAAAAAACTTATGTTATCAGTGAACCTAAGAAATTGAGAATGTTAACCGTTGTTTTTAAGTACACACGCACGTTGCAGATATTGGAGGATTTTTTAAATATATATGGAAAGAGAAAAAAAAACTATGCTATCAGTGAGCAAATTTGGGAATATTAAAAGTTTTGAAAAAATGTGAAAATGGAAAATAGGGTAAAATAAAGTGAAATATAGGAAAATAAGGACTACCATCATAGTATTTTGGCAATATATATTAAAAAATATTTCCAACTCAGAAAAGCCACAGTTGTTTAACCATTTTAACCAGAGCAAACTGATCTCATAGAATTTTAATATCAACTCACGAAAATTATAGGGCCTTTTACCCTTTTCATTTTTTATTCCAAAATTTTTTGTGGAATTCTAAAATCCAGCACTTATTCATCATTTGCAATAAATTTAGTATTTCGTTAAATTAATTTAATGTTTGTTTATCAACTGTTCCAGCTGTTGAACGAACTTAAGTTTAGAGTGACCTTCAATTAAAAGATGATCCATTTAAACGTAGTTGATAAGTGAATGATGAAATTGAAATTATTTATCAACTTTTCAAAGATCAAGGAATCAAAGTTTTGAGAAGATATCCGCTAAAAACTGAAAAAGAAATATATTGCCATCTGGAATATTTCTTAAGAGATAAGAGTTCATTAAATATATTCTCAAAGTTTCTTATGTACCGTGCGCAAAATAAAAATAAACGGACCACCCTGAATAACTTTTGATTTAATGATAAGAACTTTACGCACTACGACTCATGGTTCAAGGGGGTAACCTCAAATATGCCAATTAATTAGTGCAGATGATATTTTAAGTTTCGAAAGCACAGACACAAAAACATGTTTTGAATAAGCATACCATTTTTTCGGCGGATTCGAGCTTCTGAACCCCAAAATCATAGTTTGATCAGAAGAGCTCTACAAAGTTTGGACACCTTAATGCTAATTTTATTTTTTGCGTATTTCGCTATAAATCGATAACTTCTTAAGCGAATTAAAAACACTTTGCACTCAATTTCCCAAATTATTTATCCAAAGATAATTACATGGAAAAAAACATTTTTAGTAAATATGTAATATTTATTATTGTTTTATTTAATATTAGTCGAAAATATTTTGTATTGTACTATAATTTCTTACATCGGTACTATATTGCACTATAATTTCTTTCTTTTGTAAGGTCTATAATTTCTTACATCGTTTTAAAGAATATAATTTTGCACGGCAAAACACAATATTTGAGTGAAATCGTTCAAATAGTTCCCGAGAAATCAAATTTCAAAAAAGTCGATTTCTCAGGAACTATTAGACCAATTTCATTTAAATTTTGAATTTTGCTTCGTAAAATTATATTCTTTGAAATGATGTACAAAAATCGTATGCCTAAGAATTCATAATTCTTTCGGCTAACATTAAATAGGATAATTAAAAATAATAAATATTTATTAAAAGTTCTTTTCTGCAGAGAGTTATCTTTGGATGTACGAATTTTATAATTGTGAATAAAACATTTTCGTTGGGTTTTGTACTGAAAAAGTACGGTTTTGTGTTTTATTTCCTAATTAAAAATATCGTCTGCTCTAATTAATTAACATATTTGAACTTACCCTAGCTGACCATTAAGAATAAGTCCTAGAACGTAAAGATCCGAATA